TAAGATTATATAATATGGATGATAGAAAATAGAATCCAAATACAGGATAAACATAATTGAATTTTAAATATCGTTAGATTTAAACTTTAATACTCAGTTTCATTAACGAAGAATGAGCCTTTTTATTTTTTTTCAGTTTTAATGTAACACAGAATTAATTTCAAGGAATGCTATGATTTGTTTTTACAAGCGAGGATCATAATTACTGTTCAAGATAAATATCATGGATAATGTCACGGAGAGATGATGTTAGTGAAACAGTTAAACCGGATTAATCTCAAGCACCGTAGAACAGGCAGGATCTCCTCTATTTCGGAGAGGATTGCAAAACTGACAAGTCGTTTCTTTAATGCGCTCGAAAGAAGCTAGTGCCTTCTCTTGAAGGCTTCGGCAAGCGGTAGAAATACTTCATTACGATGAAAGCTTCTCCCGAGTCTCTTCTTCTCCACATTCCCTCTCACCTCACCGTTCTCTCTCGTGTGTTTATATACTTTCTACTTCTCTTTCGTTCCGCCCTTTGTGAATTTCTCTTTCTTGAAGGTATTTGCATCGCATGCATGCGTTTTTACAGCGCAATATCAGAGGCAGTTTAGGGGAGGATTGGGATAAAACTGAGATAGAATCTTATTGCAATTGTGTAGCAAGAGCATCAAAATTCTGTTATAAATGTATCAATATTAATAATTAATAATTTACAATAATTTCTTATAGTCGTTAAAATCATTAATATCTTTATCAATAGTGGCATTTGTTATTTATTTCAATAGTATGTTGTGAAAAGTAACTTATGTTATACTTAGTCTTTCTTTAAAATAATTTTATCAATTTTTTATTTAGCGTTATTGATTGATTTATACTATCTTTTTATTTTGATTTGTATATCTTAAACAAAATTGCTATTATTCTCGAAAGGCTTGAACCATTCATTCTAGAGGAATCTCGAAGACGAAAGGGAAAGGGGACAATGTTCGGATGAGCAACTTATACAACAGGAACGTTACAGCGAGGTCCAATAACTAGATTAGCTCTAAGCGTTTCAGGGCACTCACTTTAAAGAACTACTCTCTCTTCCTCTCTTGCACTACGACTACTCCCTTTAGGATCCATCCCTAAACATCCTCTGGGTGTCGTGAAACGTGATAAATTGCTGACTTGGAAGATAACGTGTGGATCGCCATTTACTAATTGATGCAATAAAATCAGATGTTGTTTCTATCGCATTTTTGGGAATTATTTCAATCACTTGCGAAGAATTTATCTTGAAGAGAACAGCATTTGATTGGACTTCTGTCGCTCATTGGAATTATTTAGCATAAAACAATTAAATAAATGTTAATTTTAAATGTTATTTAAACTTAAAAATCCAACATTCTTTTATGAAATTACAGGACCGAAAATCCAAACCTTTGAAGATTTGCAATCTCAAGAATCAATAAATCAACAGATTGGAAAAGCTTTAATAATTTAGCATTTAAAAAATTATTACTTTTGTGTATTCAATATTCAATATCCTTGAAAAATTTTCCAAGTATCTACATTATTCTTATTTCATTATATTAAAATATATCCTTCGCTATTTTTTGAGAATTTCTAGTGGCTAGTCGGAATATTCACACAACTAGTAAAAAAATAAGGCCTATTCTTCCGGATACCTTTGTGGTGTCAGAAAAAAAGTGAAACGTGACGTGCTTGCCCGTTAAATTCCAATCATCGAATCGAGAATGGAGCTTTTTGTCGTCTTGCATGGGAATTTCGCAATAGTGCACAGTGAGAGGAAAGGGACAAAATCTGTGAGTGCTGCAACGAAGTGGATGTGTATCATCCAAAAATATGCTTGGCGGCGAAAGAGCGACGGGAAAGTGTCGCGTCGACACATAAAAGGAAATGTGAAGGAAGAAGCATGGGAGAATAAGGCTTGGGAAGGGAGAAAGCGAGGGTTGGAAAATAGAAAAAGGGGTGGTACAACGAAGGTTCGAGCGTGCGCATCATTTTTACTGAGAAGGAGGAGAAAGAAGAGGAGGAGAAAGAGGAAAAGGTGGAGGAGGAAGAGGAGGAGGTGGAGAAGCAGGAGACGCTTCCCTTATTCGACGTCGCCGGGGAAACGAAAAATGGGGGATAGACGGTGCGAGGCGAGGAAGAAAATGACGGATAAAGGAGTTCGAGGGAGTTGCGGAAGGTTCTTTGTCGACTGGGGTATTTAACGGAAATACTAGATGGAATATCTCCGCCGACGCTAAATCACGCGGATGTGTGCACGAAGTCGTTCATAAAGGAAAACGATGAGAAATAATATGTCATGACAGAATGATAGTCCTGATTGTGCAATGAATAATTCTCGTTGCGTTAAAGATTTTTTTCTAAAAAGTCGCAAATAAAATATCTTAGGACGCGTTTACACACCTGACGGAAAAACAGAAAATGGAAAAGCAGTGGCCAATCAGAATTCGCGTTAGCAGTAAGTAGTACAAAAAGCCGAAATTGTCGACTATCAGCGCAAGTTCTGATTGGCTGCTACTTTTTCGCTCTCTACTTTTCCGTCAAGGTGTGAATGCGCCCTTAGCGGAAAAGCGGGAGCCAATCAGAACTCGCGCTGGTAATAGAAGCAGAAAAGCGGAATGTACCGCTTATTACCTGCGTGAATTCAGATTGGCTTCCGCTTTTCCGCTTTCTGCTTTTACGTTAAAGTGTGAACACGCCCTTAGGGACCTTATTTCATCGGAATTAATTTTTTGCAGAATAATATTCTAAAAAATTCTGTTATCTTGTAAAAAAATTAATTCTTTTACTTTTTAGAAAATTTTAATAATTCAAAATATATTTATATCTTGTATTTTATATTATATACAGTATCTAAACTTCTGTTTAAATGTGAGAGGTACGTCTCGTGTTATATAAATCCGCATAATACGAGCTGAGTTATACAGAAATTTATTGTACTGTATTTAATGTATTATAATTATGAGATATATTTTATAAATATATTTTAAATTATCAACATCTAAAAATGACAATTTTAATGAACATGTGAAGTTATAGCATTCCAATTGAAGGGATGGACAGAATAAAGGCACAATTCCACTTAGGTTCTTTTTCCGGTGATTAGCTTTTTTATGTAATATTGATTGTAATAGAGAAGTATAACAATTTCTTAAAGATATTACATAAATTCATTGATATTGTACTCATTTGTGTATAATAAAAAATAGCAAGTTATTTTAATTTTTATTAATATTAAGATTTTGTAATTAGTTATTCTGCTCATCCCCTCGATTTTAATTTTCGGAAGTTCTTAGAAAGAGAGAGGAGAAGGGAGAGAGAGAGAGAGAGAGAGAGGGGGGGGATTATGGGAGAATGGGAACATAAAAGAAAAAAAATGGACAAGGAGAAAATGAGAAGGCGAGAAAAAGAAAGAAAGGGTGAAAAGGAGGGAGGCAATTAATTTTTATTTTTATACATTATTAATCTAATATATCAATAAATATAAATTATTGCAATTATTTTTTTATTTTTAGAAAATTTAAATTCTTTATTATTGTTTTTAAAATTTTGCAAAAAGCAGTGAAATTCCAAAAAAATCTATTTAAGAAAGAAAAAATATATGCCATGTGCATAAAAAAAGTATCGAATATTACATTTCTTTTAATAAAAAAATGGATACCAAAATAAATGCAAACAAGTGCATTAAAAAGGTATATTACATTTCTTTTAACAAAAAAACGGATACGGAATAAATGTAATTAGTCAAGTATTTCACAACGCAAGACACATAGACTGTCTTATTTGTTTTGCGTTGTGAAATACTTGGCTAATTACATTTATTCCGTATCCGTTTTTTTGTTAAAAGAAATGTAATATACCTTTTTAATGCACTTGTTGAAATATCTCGGAAACGATTGACCATCCATGCCAAAAGGATATGCCATAAGGATATGATTACAATATGTTCAGAGGAATGTTCTCTATGGTTCTGCTAAATTTCATTGAAATTGGTGAAAGCCATATCTGAGTTTTCCCTTAGAAGAAATTAGTAAGAGAGATGTAAGATCTAGTAGTTTTATCCGCGGACTACCAATCTGTGAATCTGAGTTCGATCTACAGATTGGTAGTCTCATCCATGCCTTGCGTATTCTTTTAATTAGTAAGTATCTTTCGTTATTTTGCCGTCTGGTCACAAATAAGTCTGGCATAGTAATCAAAGCAGTATAATAGAGGAAAACAAAATAATACGAGTGAATGTGAATACTTGATCAAAGTTGTCCTTACTTTCCAAAAATACGATGCAACATTCAAACCGAAGAAAACACGTTTTTTTTTCAGCCGAACAATCTCTTGAGACTTCTCAGACCACCGTGCCTGCATATGCAGAATTTTAAGTTACGCTCCTATCTATGAGTAAAAATCTCAATGTGTTACGGTTAAACCCTGTCCACGGTAGTTCTGTGCTAGAACTCTGTCTGAGTTCTTGGATCTAGCTAATTAACATGTAGTTTTTACGGAAAAACGATAAGTTGATATATATTTCTTGATTGGATATATATTTCTTAGTCCAAGAATTCGGATCGAGTTCTAGTACAGATGTTCCTTAATCCAAGACATAATTGAGATTCTTATTCATAGATGGAGTGTAGCTTAAACAGGAAAAATCCTACGTGAGGCATGGCAGTCTCGAAAGATCGCTCGGCCGAAAAGGACTGGTTCTCTTCGCTCTGACACAGAGCTTTACACCGATTAGGTTTTCCCTTGATTAAAAGACAAATTTGGTTAAAGTAAAAAGGCTAAAGGTTAATGTAAAAAGGCTAAAAGTTAGTTGACGATTTATTATTGGCCAATATAGCTTCACATGGAACCGAAGCCAATTAAAAAACAAGTTCTCTTATAAGCATTCGGAAAAACTTCAAGATGCAATTCCTCCAAGAAATCAGAGAAATTGAAAAATGTTTTTTGAAGTGAAGAATATTTATTTGTAGAAATAAAAATACTAAGAAAATAGTTGTTCGTACCTAGTCGCTTGGAGATTTCGCTGTTGTGCATTTTCGGATTCTCTTGTGCAATCTTCCGTCGCTGTAGTCGTGACCATACCATGAAGGCGTTCATTGGCCGTTTGATGTGTTCCACCGGCACCTTCTTGCCTGCCGAGCCGAGTGGACTACTCCCCCCCATGAGGCCGACCCCCATGTGACCGACACCGGCACTACCCGGTGGCGACGTACCCGTCATCCCTTGCATACTACGCAAGGTTTCTGTGAAGGAGCCGTCACACATGTTGCCGCCGGCTCTGTAATTAAAGACATCCATCGGTTAGGGATCTCTATTAGTTCGATCACTCTGAGATATGTGAGATCTTTGGGAAGATGAAAATATCGGAGTGCAAAGTGAGAAATTATTAAAATTAAATACTATACTAAGTAAGCAAATTCAAGCCTATAAC